TCCTGTCTTATTCCACCCTCACGAATGTGCTCTGTCTCCTGAGGAATGGTTTTAAAAGCTCTTACTAGACAAACATAATAAAAATGGCGTGTGGTTGTCTGAACCGCGCTCTTGACCAGGCAGAGGGGTAAAAGAATCCACACGGCTTGTTTTTTTTGCTCTGTTGTCCAAACTGATAGATACAGTACAGGTTGTGTGCTACTGAAGTACACCTGTAGTATGTGATCAGACTGTGAGCGTGCTGTACTTTAATATAGAGCGTTGGGTGTTCTGCATGTATAGGTTGTTGGTTTTAATTAACGGGAAGCTGCTATTTTGTTTTTAATGCAAGTGGATTCTTGTAAACAAACTCCACTTTTAGGCAGTATATGGCAAGCCGTTTTGACTTTTATTCATTCTCAGGATATGAATTCTTCATATCAACAATTCAATTTTCACTAGTTAAAATGTTAATTCTTGATATCAGGAATTTGATTTCTACTAGTAATAATGGCTATTTTTGATATCAGCAGTTACATTTCCACTTGTAACAATGTTAATTCTTGATATCAAAAATTAAATTTTCACTAGTTAAAATGCTAATTATTTATATCAGGAATTAAATTTCAACTAGTAAAAAATATAATTCTTGATATCGGTAATGGTATTTTCACTAGTTAAATCTCACCATAGGCTGCCATTCAAATTTAATTGGTGATATCAATAATTACCTTGTTACTAGTAAAAATGTGAATTCTTGATATCAAGAATTCAGTTGTTACTAGTTGAAATGTTAATTCTTAATATCTGTAAATGAATTTCAACATGTTGCATTTGTTATTTCTGATATCTGAAAATGTATTTCTGATATCAATATAATTTCTGATATCTAAAATGGCTTTTTTACTAGTAACAATCACATTCATGATATCAGAAATTAACATTGTCATTAGTAACAATTGAATTATTGATATCAAAAATTAACATTTTAACTAATAGCAATTGAATTGTTGATATCAAGAATAGACATCTGTACTAGTAACCACGTGATTACTGATATCAAAAATAAAGGGGTTTACTAGTAAGAATTGTATTTCTGATATGTGAAATTGAAATTTCAACTAAGAAATCAATTCTTGATATCAACAATTGATTATGAATGGCAGCCTATGGTGACATTTAACTAGTGAAAATACAATTGCAGATATCAAGAATTAACATTTGTACTAGTGAAAATGTAATTGTTGATATCAAGAATTAAAATTTTTACTAGTGAAAATTGAATTGTTGATATCAAGAATTTATATCCTGTGAATGAATAAAAGTCAAAACGGCTTGCCAATTGCCATTCCCAGGATATAAATTCTTGATATCAAGAATATTTTTTACTAGTTGAAATTGAATTGCTGATATCAAGAATTTGATTTCTGCGAGTGATGACGTGTCATTGTTGATATCAAGAATTAACATTGTTACTAGTGGAAATGTAATTGCTGATATCAAAAATAGCCATTGTTACTAGAAATCCAATTCCTGATATCAAGAATTAACAATTTAACTAGTAAAAATTGTATTGTTGATATCAAGAATTCATATCCTGAGAAATGAATAAAAGTCAAAACGGCTTGCCATACAAGTATGTAGATATGAATGTGAGTGATTGGCGAGTGCATTACAAGCGTGCAGGATTATTAAGCATGCTTCATGCATGTTCTGTGGTGGTTAGAAACCTCGGTCTTGGAATGTCTGTAAATCTATCTATCTATCTATCTATCTATCTATCTATCTATATATCTATCTATTCTTTCTATCTATCTATCTGTCTGTCTGTCTGTCTGTCTGTCTATCTGTCTCTCTATCTCTCTCTATCTATCTATCTGTCTGTCTGTCTGTCTATGTCTGTCTGTCTATCTATCGATCGATCTATCTGTCTGTCTGTCTGTCTGTCTGTCTATCTGTCTCTCTATCTCTCTCTATCTATCTGTCTGTCTGTCTGTCTGTCTATGTCTGTCTATCTATCTGTCTGTCTATCTATCTATCTATCTATCAATCTATCTGTCTGTCTGTCTGTCTGTCTGTCTGTCTGTCTCTCTGTCTCTCTGTCTCTCTGGCTTGAAGCTGAAACAGACAGTAGCAGAAGACAGTTATGTTATATCTTGCTATGGTACCCCTTGTGGTGAATAGTAGGTGTATTTTGTAGTGTAACAAACTGTGGTTCTGTACATGTTTGAACACAACTACTCACAGAATTCATGCAACACGAGCAGGACGAATTTCTATGCAAATTACTTGTAAAACCATTCTTGTATAAAATGTTGAATTGAATCATTTGTGAAACCATTATTATTATATTGTTGCATTGAATCATTTATAAAACCATTCATGCTACATTGTTGCTTTAAATTGATTGCAAAGCATTACTTAGGCAAATTGTCAGATTGACATTAATTTAATTATCCATAAAACCATTCTTACTAAAATGTTGCATTGAATCATTTGTAAATCTCTTATGCATTAACTAATTTATAAAAAAACATGTAATTTGTTGCATTGAATTGTTCATAATGCAACATTTGACAAAAGAATGGCTTTACAAACTAGTTACACAGAAATCAATTTTGTATCATCGACTTTATAGTATTTTTTGTGCACATGTGATGTGTATCGCCGTGTTTGGTTGTGATTGTGTGCACATTTATGTGGAAATAGAGAAGCTGTAAGTGTGTGTGTGGTGCATATTATATCAGCAAATTTCTGTCTGAATGCATGTGTGTGTGTGTTCAAGCTGTTGTCCTACTTTCAGAGGAAAGTTTCCTTGTCTTTTTTTCCTTTGTCTTTCCTTGTTTCCAGAGTATTTTTTTCTGTGGTCAATGTGCTGCAAATTTTTCCCACATTCACCTCTTCCTCTCCCAAATATCCACACACACATATAGGGAGAAGCAGGGAGAGAGACAGATAAACGGGTCTGATATGTAGGTTGAAGGTCGCTGCTAGTCACTTCACTTGAATGATTGGTCACAAAAGCCTGACTACTAAACTCATTAATGGTCAATGTAACATACATAATTCAGAATTTCTTTTTTACTGATAAGCACTAAACATTTTTTATTTATATGTTACAAATGTCATTTATATCAGAATTACTGTAATTCTACGTTTCTAGGGAGCTACATGTAGATATATTACCATTTTTGCATATTTTATTGTAGCTGGCGACTTTTAGGTCAGGTTTTATATAAATAAAACTTACCATTAGTTGCTTAATATTTTGCATAAGAATATAGATGTTAATTCAAGTAATGTTTAGATATTTTCCTGTCAGCAGCAAACCCATATACTGTATGTAGGCATTTTGGTGCAATGAGTGTGAAAATGTAACTGGCATGTAAACTTTGTGTTGCTATCTCGTAATTACGGTAATTCTGACACTACGTGAATGCAGCAGAAGTGCTGTAGACCCGTTTTTGTCATCATTATGTTTTACAAATGCAGGCTTTATGAGCTCCCAGTCAAGTGAAGTATAATAGGATGTTCAGGAGGTTGTCAGAGAAACCAGCCAGCGGTCCACGAGAGCATATCTGTTCACTAACTCAACTGCAGTGTATTAATCAGCATCTTAGGGTGAAATTTGATAGTACAGAAATGATTGGATGAGAATTACTCCAGTAATTACTGCAACAATCAGTCTGTTCCAAAACCTAGTGAGTCACCTAGACATACTTTCTTTTGTTTTCTTTTTTATATGATTTTTAGACATTGAGCTTTGGAATGGCACTATATAATTAAATAAATATTTGTTTTATTATCTATTTGTTTGTTTGGTTGGTTGATTGGTTGTTTAATACCAAAATGTATCTTTGTAAAATATATTTTTGGCTTTTAGCTCTGGAACAGCATTATATAAATATTATATAAATTATACTATATACTATAATAATACTATATAAATAATATATTTATTTATTGCCTGTTTAATACCACCATTGTTCACTATATTTTTTTGACCTTGTGCTTTGAAAAGGCACTATATAAATTTTAGACCATGAACTTTTTTATATATTTATTTACAAAATGTATTGATATGATGTAGTTTTGACCTTAAGCTTTGATAAAGCACTATATAAATTAAATATATTTATTTATTTACAAAATCTATCTCTCTATCTGAATAAGATTTCTTAAATATATTTAAGATATGTGCTTAAATCACAGACCCTACATAAATTAATAACATCTATTTATTTATTCGAAAATGAATCAATACAAAATAAAATAATACTTTACCGAATAATTAATATTTTTGTGCTTATTAATGTGTCAATTTGTGAGCTTAGCAGTTCACTAGGTTTTGGTACAAAGATTTTTTTTTTTATAAATTGCCACTAACAATCCTTTTATAATGTTTATCATGCTCATAAATCTGTTGAAATGCTTCACAAAGGCTGCCGTGGTTTCCTCGACAATCTCCTACAGTCTGGCCGAGAAAGACTTCTGTCTTATTTGTTGTCTAGTCTTACTCTACACTGGCCAGATTAACTACCACTGGTTAACTGAAACACTTCATCGCAAATCCCGACTTTACCACTTCCAAAATATAAAACAATCCAGCTGGTGTTTTCTTGAACCAGTGGGAAAGTGTGAACGTTTACGTGTGGAGTATTTGTTTCTGGAAAACTCTGTGTTTTTATATTGTGGATTTTTTTTAGAAAACCAATGTATGACGAATTTCGTAACTCTCATTTTCCTGTTTTGTCCTGTGTGTGTCTTCTGTCCGTCTGTCTTTTACATGTCTCTTCACCTTTAAATTCACATTTGTGTCGCTTTATACTTACTTTTACGTTTTTCCCGTTTCCATTTGTTTCGTTCCTTTACCCATAAATCATTTTCTGTCTGCCACATCGATATATTAACTGAACATGTAACGCCCAACCCATCGTCCATGCTGTTTAATCTAAAAACACACATCTTAAAATTAATTTAACCTGTCACTAACAATTAAACTTGGTAAAACGATCTGCCAGCCACGGGTTATGAGAAATCTCGCAGCCTGAACAACATATCAGGAATGGCGGGGTCTTCCCTGCGTTTGACCCCCATCACCAGCACGCCCTATGACCCTTACGAGGCCCCAGGACCCCTCCGTCGCTGCCGCTCACCCATTCCCTCCATTTTGTAGCAGAAGAGCGGAAAGAGTGACAGAACGACTCAGGAAAGGAGGAGAGAAAGGCAGGACAGCCTCACACTCACATTCATAGCAATAACAATGACTGACCGCGCCAGTAGATACACGTCACTAAACGGAGCTGTTTGTCAATGACCACGGGTCATGTTAGTTACGAACTGAACTTGGCAGGTTAACCAGGTCAACAACTGTACGTATGTTTAGGAACGGAAGGAAGTGCTTTGTTTTTTCCCCATGCTTTCTGGGTCAGACATGTTAAACGTATGATTTTGATGCTCAAGGCAGATATATTAATGCATTTTGATTTCGAATACACTCGTTTTGTGTTCCATTTCCCTCAAACTCTGAATTAAGATGAATATAACTGAATATTACTGTGAATACATGCAATTCTGGACTGTAGAAAACTCCAGAATTTTCAATGCAAGAATAATGTACATATGCAATCATTACTCTGCAAATAGGGGTTAAAAATGAAATGTATCACACATACGTGTTTGTATTTGTCTTTGAACTGAAATCATTTAGTTTATTTGCAAAACTATTGAATCAAAATGGAATGGGTGAATCTGGTAAATCGATTATTTGAGCTCTGATAATACAGTCTCTCCATGACCATTTATTTTATTTTGCACATGGTCATCTTCATTGTTCATTTGTTTAATCATATGCATACTGTGTTTTGCCCATTATAACATGTTGCCAAATTTCGCCCACCTCTGAGCAAAGACTTGCAATCCAAAAACTGTACATGAGGAGCAAAAAAAGAACATTTGATGGAATTATTTTCCTTTGTTTGCCATTGTACACTGTGTTTGTGATGTGTTAAGGCCCGTTCACACCAAGCACAATAACTATAAAGATAACGATAAAGATATAGTTCTAAAAATCGTTCTCAATATTAAAGAATAGCAGAGTCCACACCACAACTATAACGATACAGAGGAACGATATCATTGTGATCACTTTCAAAATGATTTTTTCCAGCTGATGAACGATAAAACACTGACAGCCAATCAGAATCCATCCTGCTGTAACAAGCTCAAGAATTTAAAGCGGCAGATGAACGTGCGCTTAGAATAAACAGACGATATCGTTCACTGGTGTGGATGCTAATATCGTTATCTTTATAGTTATCGTTCTTGGTGTGAACAGGGCTTAAGTGTTAGATTTTCAGATGATGCTCCAAAAAAAAAACTCTAAAAATGCTCATTCACCCACATATATATATATATATGCAAAGTGTTCAATATTCCATCCTAATTCATAATGCTGCAAAAGTACGCACATGTGGTGTTATAAATGTATGTGTAAGAGAATTAATCTTGATGAAAAGGTTAAAAGAATTGAAGATGACGAAGAGGATGTGATGATTTTAAGAGCATTTCTTATTTGTCTTGTCAATGTTAGTGTCCTGCTGTTGTTTTTTTTATTATATTTTGAATGTTTTTCAAAGATAAATTGTTTTTGTTTTCAAAAACATTACACGACAGTTTCATTTGTATATGATATATACGTAAGCGTTACTGTGTTTCTTTTTGGATAAATAGAAATAGACAAAAAATATATGTAAATGTATTCAGGTCGATGTGACCGAGTGCTTCCAGAATCATTAACAAAAGAGGTGATCCTAAGTAAAGAAGCCATTTCTGAGAATAGTACTTCCCTGAAATAGCAAAAAAAAATAACATGTTGCAACAATTGCAAAGTTGTAGTATATAGGGAACTGTATGTTATCTAGTTCTTTATCATTAAATGTGATTTAGTTTCCCAATGGAGAACAACCCACTGCTGAGACAGTAAATATATCAGTAAGGAGCTATTTTGTTTTAAACATGGCTCCTCGATCATGCAAACCTGGATCCTACAATGTACCCAGCATTGTGCAAGATTCAATCCTCCAAAGTGATTTTGTTTTCCAATTCAGGATTGGTACAGTTTCTATGATAACCAAAGTTTGGCAAGTTAGAATGCAAGAAAAAAAGTATTTTCTGATGAAGTCAAAGGACATGAAAAAAGTATAAAAAGTTAAAGGGGTCATATGATGCAATTTCAGTTTTTCTTTTCTCTTTGGAGTGTTACAAGCTCTTGGTGCATAAAGAAGATCTGTAAAGTTGCAAAGACTAAAGTCTCAAATCCAAAGAGATATTCTTTATAAAAGTTAAATCAGCCACACCTACCTAAAACGGCTCGTTCTAACACGCCGTCTACGTCACAATGTGGGAAGATTTGCATAACGCCGCCCAAATGTTCACGCAAAGAAAGAAGGCGTAAACTTTATTCTCGCTGTAGTATTGTTGTTGCCGCCACTGCCATGTCGTGAAGGCGCTGTGTTTCGTTGTGAAAGCGAAACTACTTTGTTTGGCCTTCCAAAAGAGGACGCCCAGCGGCCGCTCCTTCGTCGAATCGAATTGAAAAGCGCTTGTTATTTGTAATTTCTCCGATTACAAATGCAGACATGGTTTTATGTTTACACGGCGCGATGCAATGCAACGCGTAAAAAGACAGTATAAGTCATTATAATCCGTAATTATGTCCCCACTGGATCCAACAAATGCCTCATTTATAATGGGTTTTATATATAACGGCCTGACAGGGCATCACAGTATGGTAGGGGCGAAATATTTCCGTCACACGCTTGAGGTATTCAGCCAATCACAACGCACTGGATAGCTGGCCAATCAGAGCACACATCGCTTTTTCAGACCGAAGAGCTTTGTAAACATCGACGCATTTCAGAAAGGCGGGGCATAGAGGAGAAACAATAATGTACAGTATGTGGAAAATAATGTGTTTTTTTACTTTAAACCGCATAAACACATTTCATTATACCAAATAATGTTCTTTTTAGCAACATCATATGACCCCTTTAATAAAATATACACTGCCATTCAAAAGTTTTTTTTTTTAAGAAATAATGCTTTTATTCAGCAAGGATGCATGAACTGATCAAAAGTGACAGTAACCAAAGTTTTCTATTTTAAATAATTGCTGTTCTTTTAAAAAATATATATATATATAACATTGCTAATAATAAGAAATATTTCTTGAGATTCAAAACAGTGTATTAGAATGATTTCTGAAGACTGAAGTAATGATGCAGAAAAATCTGCTTTGCATCACAGAAATAAATTACATTTAATATTATATTCAAATAAAAAAGTTATTTTATATTGCAATAATATTTCCTATTTTTACTGTATTTTTGATTTTTTTTTTTATCAAATAAATGTAGCCTTGGTGAGCATAAGAGACCTCAAAAACATTTGAAAAATCTTACTGATTCCCAACTTTTGAATGGTAGTATATATCAGTAGTACAGTAAAACTTGAATTTTAAAGTTTGAATATTCAGAACCGATAATTATGTAAAAAAAAACAACAACAACTAGATGCCGGAACAGTGAGAAACAGCATTATATCAATGCAAAATCCACACAAACTATAAAATATATTTAAATATACTATAATCGTCACATTATTGTGCATGCATCTGTGGTGGGATTGAATCCTGCACGACACTGGCACCAATCCTTGTTAAAATGATTGTATTTTAACAAACATGTAGCGGGACCCCAGGCCTCCTCATACACTGTGAAACCAGAGACTTTCTTCCTCTAAAACTGATTAGTCTCCATTAGTTATGGATCTCTAGTGATTAGTTAATTGAGAAGATTCATTCTCTAGATAAAAAATAATAATAATAATGTCTTTCCTCCATTTGTGAGTTGATGTTAAAATTAATATTGTGCTGTTCTTGTAGTATGCAAATGTTTAAGATGTTAAAAAAGGACTTTTAAGAACTGATTTGTTTCCTTGTGTATACTATGTAGCTGTGCCCTATACAACACTGTCAGGTCACTGAAACACATCGAACATGTTTATATTAAAAGAGCAAGAGCCCTCTATGAGGATAATTTAGGCTACAGTGTTGTTGTAGAGACATATACACCGCTAGCTAGATTTAACTAGCTTCACCTATTAATGCAAAGCTTCTAGGCCGACATGATCTGTACAAATGTGTATCTACACGAGCCCATTTGCCCATTAAACTCACCTCTGCCTTTCTCTTTATGTATGTTGGTTGTTCTTTAAAGACTCCATGTGTTATGTTGACATTTACTGTATGTAAATGAGTGTTTGTTTAAGGTGCGTGTGTGCATTTTGAATTTGTGTTTGCAAATTAACTGAAAACTAATGCACTCATTCACCCAGATTACATTAGAATGTGTAAAAACAACACAAAGGTGAATTTTGATAGATTTATTGCTTATTACCTGAACTAAAATGTACAAAATCATAGATATTGTTAGTGGTTCAGACTTGAATGAATTATCTGTTAACAGAATTCTTACAGTACATGCTTAACTTTTTACCAGCCATCCACAGGTAAACCTTCCCCAGCTTTCTACTGTTCTCAGTTTTAATCAATAAGTTTCCTTTATCAGTGATAATGTAGTAGCTTATTATATTTTAAATTGATCTAAAATGTATCTGGGGTGGACTATTCCATTCCTGCTAGATCTAGAAAGTTAATTGGCCACATATAGTGTTAATACGCAAGTGTGATCGCCAGTGTTTTCGGATTTCAGGTTAAACACTGTGTTATCATTAATTGTAATTAGCACCTGTGTGTTTTCTCCGGGACTGGACTTTTTCACCCCTGAGAAGATACATTGCACAGCCAGTGTTCAGTGCATGCAACTTCATCTTGAGATCTGTGTGTGTGTAGAAGAGTTTTAACTGTGTTCATCTCAAAATCTTTTTTTCGTTTTTTCAGTGGCTTTGTATTTGTGTGATTTTCTTAAAAGCATTTCTACATCTTAAAGGAATAGTTCACCCAAAAATGAAAATTTGCTGACATTTTACTCACCCTCAGGCCATCCAGGATGTAGATGAGTTTGTTTCTTCATGGGAACAGATTTGGAGAAATGTAGCATTACATCACTCGCTCACCAATGGATCCTCTGCAGTGAATGGGTGCCGTCAGAATGAGAGTCTAAACAGCTGATAAACACATCACAATAATAACACAGTAAAAAAGTCCATCTCTTGTTGTTCTCTCACACCAAAATCCACCCACATATTTGTTTAATTTCCGATTTGGATTGTTTTGTCTTGTTAACGTTGCTTGATCTGTGCATATTTCTCACCTGATTCAGATGAGACAAATTTTTCACTGGAGAAAGCAAAATTATGGATAGAAGACTCGTATTTTAGCTTGTATCAACAGTTTGAAGTTAAAAACACAGCATTTTGCTTCACAAGATGTTAACTGATGGACTGGAGTGGTGTGAATTACTTGTGGATTATTGTAATGTTTTTATCAGCCGTTTGGACTCTCATTCTGACGGCACCCATTCACTGCAGAGGATCCTTTTGTGAACAAGTGCTAAATGATGAACAAACAAACTCTTCTACATATGGAATGGCATGAGGGTCTGTACATTTTCAGCAAATTTTTGGGAGAACTATTCCTTTTAATTTTTCTGTGATTTTTCTTTTAAACGTTTTGCTTAATTAA